CTCTTCATAGGATATATGTGAGGACACAACATCACTTTTGTGACAGTCCTGCCAAAAATTCGTAGGCTGAATCTAACCATGAGGAAATGTCAAACAAACCAAATTAAGGAGGAGTTTACAAAATTACTAGTCTGTACTCTTTAAAAGTGTTACAGTTTTGAAAAACAAACAATGCTGAGAAAGTTTTCCAGATTAAAAAAAGACCAAGAGATATTACAACAAAATTCAATATGATCCTGGACTGGATCCTGGACTGGCAATTGGTTGAAATCTGAATAGGGTCTGTAAATTAGATAATATTTGTCAATGTTTAATTTCTTGTTTTTGATAACTGTACTATGGTTATGTAAGACAAATCCCTAAACACAGTGAAATAGTTAGAAAGTAGGAAAAAATTCATCCTCTGTAGAAGTTGTGGAGATTTTCTCCTATATTTTTTCTAATTTTAAAGTGCTGCTCTTTGCATTTAGGTCTTTAATCTACCTGGGATCGATTTTTGTGTTATGATGTGGGATGGAGATACATTTTTTTATTACACTGTCCTATGCGCAAAAAAAAAATCCTATTTCTTAAAATGTACCTATTTTCCTCACTGGACCAAAAATAAATATTTTAAAAAGTATCTTATATGTTCAGCACTATTTTAAAAATGTGAATTACTTCTTTAAGTCAGTCAGTTACTTCTTCATAGTCATGTCATACATTTTAATAAATTCCAAAAATCCTTCTAAAAAGTGTCTAATGAACTTACCAGTCATCATTCAGGTAGTAATCACAAGAATGTAACTTGCTCAAGGAACTTTTGAATATTCAATTTACAGGCAGTAAGAAAGGGTAACTATCCTGTTATTACAGAGGCATGGCTAACACTAAGAATATATCAATGTAAGTAATGTGACATTAATAGTCCATTTCTCACAAACAACTTAATTTGTTTAAAGATTTCCAATGGTTATCTCAGGAAGTAATGAATAGTTCATTTTTGTACACAAAAATCCTAATAAGGTTATTCAGGCACTGTTGCAGTTTACCATGAGCTACTGTCTCCTTAAAATCAAGTTAAGCAATTTTGGATTAAATAGAGGGTTCTAATTACCTGATTTCTAATTAAACACCTACCTAAATTGTGTTTGCTGGCTGTAACTGTTTAATACAAATTTTCAAATGACAAAAAACTTGTCTTTATTTAACCTACCAAAATTGTTTATTTCAAAAGTTCTCCCTTATGACCAACCAATTTCATAACTAGGTATTTATATAAATGAATGCATATGTCTACAAAAAGATCACCTAAGAATGTTCATAGCAGCCTTATTCATAATAGCTCTGAATGATTATCGAGAGGAAAACGGCTAAATAAATAAACTAGGGTACTGATACAAGCAACACCATGAATCTCAAACACGCTGAGTGGAAAGAAGTCAGATGCACATACAAAATACTGTGGTTTTATTTATACGACATTCAAAACCAAGGAAAATTAATCTATGGTGATAAAAGTTAGAGTTTGGTTGGGAAAAGGGTATAGGGAACTTTCTGATGTGATAGAAAATGTTCTTTATTTTCAGTAAATAAATGGTGGTTGCAAAGGTGTATATAGTTGTGAAAACCCACTGAACTGAACATTTAAAAATTGTGCACTGTATAGTAGGTAAATTATATTGTAACTAAAAAAATGCAAAAAAACCCTCATATACATGATAGCATTTTACAATTTTGTCTTTATGTATAAATGTTAATTAAAAAGCATTCTAACAATGACAATTAAGAAATGAAATTATTTTCTAGTTAACAAACACAAACGTTTTAATATTAATTTTTACTGCTAAAAATCCACAAAAACATATTTATCTAACCTTTTGCTTTTCTAATAAAAATACAGTAAAAAAAATTAAAAATAAATGTTAAAGAAATAAAGGACCTTAGGCTTTCATTCTGAATTACAGAAAGTACTATGTTGGCATGAACCTACTATGTAGGGCATTTGCCTCAGTCTCCTTAAAAAATATCAGACATTCTGGAGGAAAAAAAAATGGCATAGATAGAGGCTCTGTTCATCCCTCTGGCAACCAAATCAAGGTTATGACAGAAACAAGGAGCAGCAGCAAGGAAAAATCGCCTGGGATGTAGCCATACAACTAGGGAGAAATCCAAGAAATCGCCCTGCAACGGCAGAAGGTAGCACAGGGCGAGGACGCAAGGCTGCCCAGTCTCGAGTGTCTGAGTGAGACAGAGGCTGTCGCAGCAGCAGACGCCTCTTAAAGGGGCCACATCCGCGAGCGGATTTTTCTGGTGATAGACCTGCTCACTCTGAGCACCAGTGCTGGTTCAACTATGCGCAGGGGGCACCAGGGACTTACAGGGAGATACTGCTGGAGTGAGGGAGACTTACAGGGAGACTCACTCTATATGGAAGTGCCGGCAATATCCATTGTTCTCTGTTGAGCCCTTCCCTGTCCCAGTGTGCAAACACAGCACCTCCATAGCCAGGACATCGTCCAACTGGATAACAGAGGTCGCTCTGCGCAGAGGATTCCCTGAAACCCCAACTCCCCTAACTCGAGGTCCCACCCAAGTCACACCCAGGTATATCTCAGCCAGTCAGGTGCTCCTTGCTGAGCAGCACCTAGACTCACACTGGAGGCAACCTCCATTTCTGGTGTGCCCTTTTGAGGCAACTATAAGCACAGCCATCTGTAGATTGCTTGCTGAATCTTAACAGGTAGCCCCAGAGGGGCAGACGCTTAGGCTAAATTTGGCCTGTAGCTGAACCCCTCTCAGGATTGTGCCACTGGACACTTACTTCACAAATCCATACTAACAAGACCGGGAGACTTAGCAGCGTTGCTTAGTACACAGAAATAGACACAGAAAGGCAGTCAAAATGGAAAGACAGAGAAACAGAAACAATATGAGAGAACAGAACAGAGATCCAGATACAATAGAGTCAAGTAATCTAACAGATGCAGAGTTCAAAATACTGGTTATAAATATGCTCAATGAACTTTTGGGAAGTGTAGACATTCAGCGAGAGCTTCGACAAAGAGATAAAAAACATAAAAATGGAAATGGAAATTATAAGAGGGAATCAGTCTGAAATGGAGAATTCATTATCTGAGATGAGAAGTATATTAAATGGAATAAACAAAGTGAATAAACAAAGTGAATAAAGAAAAGGATCAAATGCTCTATCTAGGAAATGGGGAAGCCAAGGACATACAATCGGAATGGCAAGGGATAAGATGCCAAGACTATAAAAATAATTTAAGGAGCATATGGGAAACTATTAAGGGTCCAAATATCCATCTGATCGGCGTACTTGAAGGAAAACAAGATGCTGGACAGCTATTTGAAGAAATAATGATGGAAAACTTCCCTAACCTGGTGAAGGAAATGGACATAAAACCCCAGGAAGCTCAGAGAATTCCAAAAATGAGGGATCCAAAGAGGCCCACACCAAAACGCATCATAATTAAAATGCCAGGATATACAACCAAGAAAACTTTATTCAGCAAAGCTATCATTTAGTGTCAAAGGACAGATAAAGAGCTTCCCAGACAAAAATAAGCTAAAGGAATTTATCACCACCAAGCCAGTATTACAGGAAATGTTGGAGGGACTTCTTTAAGAAGAAAAAGCATGTATCAGAAACATAAATAAGAATAGTAATAACTACATTCCTATCAATAAGTACCTTAAATGGGAAAGAAAGAAGTGCTCCAACCAAAAGAGAGAGTGGCTAAAAGGATAAGAAAACAAGACCCCTACATATGAAAAGGAATGGGATGGAAAAAGATATTGCTTTGATGGACCTAGAAGGTATTTAAGTCAGACAGAGAAAGATAAACACTATATGATTTCACTTATATGCAGAATCTAAGAAATAAAAAGAACAAACTAATCAAAAACAGATGCACAAATATAGTGGATAATTTGGTGACAGAGGGGAGGAGGGTTTGGGGGACTGGAAGAGTGGAGCGAAGGGTTAAAGAAGTACAAATTAGTAGTTGATGGATGGTCACGGTGATGGGGAATATGGCAGAGGGAATGCAGTTAGCATTAATACTTTGGCTAGGTGGAGGGTCAGGGGAGGGAGAGACCAATTGGGGGGGGTTATTTTACAAACTATATAGATGTCTAACCAATGTACTGTGTACTTGAAACTAATAAAATAAATTAATTTAAAAAATATTGGACATTCTTGCTTAAGCTGAGGACTCTGGTCAGGTGTTTTTACTCTACTCACCATTTCCTTTACCAGTACACAATTTATAAGGAAGAAATCAGTGCTCACACTGAATAAACTGAAGCTGATCATTCTGAGTCAGCTTCCTAAAAAATCCCAGAGCAGTGAAATTTCTACATTTTGAACTTTATAAAGTTTTTATCATAGGTTTCACCTGATTCTCAAGGGATATATCAAAAAGGGTCACTGCCTTAGAGATGGGTAGTAAAGTTAAGAGCTATTATGCATTTTTCTACTTCAACTATAAGAATTATTTGACATTGTTTCCTGTAACTCCCTAAAAATTGCCTATGCCTTTTTGAGAGTTACAAGCAAAATAAGAATAGAAAAACACTTTTTAAAACTCTTTCTTATTTATTTTTATTATGGTGACATTGGTTAACAAAATCCAGTAAGTTTCAGGTATACGATTCAACACTAAAGCATATACATATTGCATTGTGTGTTTACCATCCTGAGATTTCTTTCTGTCACCATATATTTGACCCTTTTCACCTCATCTCCCTTACCCTTCCCCCGCACCCTCTGGTAAGCACTATTCTATTGCCCATGTCCATGAGTCTCTGTCATGTTTGTTTCTTTTAGGTTTATATTCCACATACAAGTAATGTCACGTAGTTTTCAACTTTTTCTGCCTGGCTTATTTCGCTTAGCATGATTATCTCGAGGTCCATCCATGTTGTTGCAAATGGCAGTATTTCATCTCTTATGGCTGAGTAATATTCCATTGTATATATGTACCACAGCTTCTTTATCCCATCGTCTAGCATAGTACACTTCAGTTGCTTCCATGTTCTGGCCACTGTGAATAAAGCTGCTATGAACATCAGTGTGCAAATATCTTTTTGGACATATGTTTTCAAGTCTTTGGGGAAACTCCATACTGTTTTCCATAGTGGTTGTACCAATTATTTAAATAGTTTATAATTAAGTGATCACTATTGCATGTCTGTGTTACAGACAAATTTCCTTCAATTTTTTCCTTTATAATTATCATTTTGAATGGTAATTAAAAACAGGGTCAATATCACTTAATCTGAAACTAGGTCATCTACTGAATTCAACGTCAAATTTTCTTTAAATATGCTTTTATTTTTTATTTAAAATATTTAAAAAACCACGAACCCAAAGTAGACATTAGCGTTAAGTGGAAAAGTTATATAAGCTCTTATTTATCTTACATTTTCTACTTCTTGCCTCTGAATCATTCCCCTCGGCCCACAACCAGTCCTGAAGTTTTTCTTTCTTTCAAAAAAAAAATTAAAAAAGTATCCTTAAAATGAAATAGCAGAAAAAAATGTAGTAGTAATAACTAGTCTTTCTTTTCTGCTTAGCTACCAATTTTTTTTTTTTTCAAGAATAATTTATACTTTCTGTCTGTTTCTTATTCTTTAGTCAACATTTACTGAGGACCACAATACAGTGGGACTAAATCCTGGTGGCACATTCAAATCATCTAGGAAGCTTTAAAAAAACAAAAAGCACAGAGGCTCTAGGCTTCTCCCATGAGTGAAGCCTGTGCATCCATGTTTGTTTATAAACTCTCCAGTTGATTCTAATGTGCAGCTAGAGCTGGAAACCACTCATCTAACATGTGCCAGGCACTGTACTGGATTTACACAAATGACTAAAACACAGAGCCTACCCCTGAAGGACACAAGAAATAAGAACATCAGGAAACTTATTAAAACTGGTAAATGTTATAACAAAGGTATGTACAAACTGCTGAAGGAGCAGAGATAGGCTAAGATACAAACGTAGATGACAGAAATCTTTGGATCTAGTTATTGAAGAATGAGTAGTTTACAACACACGCAAGACTAAAAGGCCATTTCTGGAAGAGAGAAAACATATATGTACTTTTTTAGACCCTGGTAATCTGGCTTTTTCTCTTTGCTTCCTGGTCCAAATTGTAGTAAAACTGCTCTCTTAAAGGCCACCAATGATTTCTAGTCCATTACTTAAATACTTGGCCTTATCTTTCTTTAACAGTTTCCAATCGGTAAAATAGAAATAACAACAAGATTACTCTGACAATTTAGAGATATAGTAGATATTGGATATACAGTAGTAGATATAATTTGTTTCTCATCCCTTAAATTCAAAGGCTCTTCTCAATCCTATAGTCCTTCTTAATGTCTCTGCAACACTGGCACTGCTCCTTCTGGAAATTCTCCACAAGTTCTACGATATGAGCACCTACTCTGTTCTACTTCAAGGGTCACTCCTCGCCTTTTTCTTTTCTTCTTTAAATGAAAGCATAACCAAAAGTATATGCTCTTTGCCCTCTTCTCTTTGTTATGTCTAAACTTGTTCTCTTAAAAAGCTTATCCCATCTCATTCCTTTAACCTGCAAAGAGTACTTCCAAATCTATATACAATCTCTGGGCCTGACCTCTTTCCCAAGCTCCATTTCTTCATCTCCATATCTGCTAGACATGTTCACGTAGACATTCTGCTAGAATCTCAAACTCAACATAACCTAAATCAAGTTTGCGCTTACTCTTCTCCCAGCTGTGCATCCTCTTTCCTATGTTCTCTAGTTAGTGGTGGGACCACTTCCTAGTCACCTAGATTTTAATGTTCGTAGTTATCTCTGATTCTTCCCTTTCCCCTACATTTACTCACCAACTCTGAAATCTGTTAGCAATCTTGTTTTTCCTTTATGTCTTATGAAAATACTTTAATTCGGACCCTAACACTTAACCCAGGTTCCCAACTGTTCTCACTAGCTCCAATCTGTCTAGTCCTGTGGTTTCCAACCAGGGGCAATTTTGTCCCATAGAAAATATTTTTGATTGTTATGACTGCGGGGATGCTACTGGAATCACATGAACCAAGGATGCTATCAAACATCCTACAACGCACAGGACATCTTCTACAACAGTTATCCAGACCAAAACGTCAACAGTGCTCAGGATGCGAACTCCTGTGCTATTTAATAGCACGATTCATCTCTTACTTGCAAAATACCTGAGATATAATTCATACTCCCTGCTTCCTCCCATTTTCCTAATTTTTCTTCCTCTGTTGTGGTCTCTGTCATGACCTTATACCCCAAATGATGTTCACCATCCTCCTAGGCAGAGGTATTTTTCTGTCTTCTGAATTTCCATGAACTTAATAATTTTTGACCCTTTACAGTATGTATATATGTTATATATGTCTGATTCATCTCAATCTATAGTCTTGCATTGTGTCTACCAAACAAGTAATCAAATCACCAACCTTCAGTCTGAAACTTAATCTATGGTGTCACTACTTCTATTCACAAATATAATTCTCTTCTCCTTCCCTGCCCATCTGAAATTAAGTTTACAGATTTAACTTGCTTTAGTTAACTGAAATTTGAACAGAAGTATAGTGAATCTGAGTGTGTTGTGGGTAGGGGAGAGGAGAGCTTTAAAAACCAGTGTATCATTCACGGCATTTTCTTCTCACTGCTTCCTGGACTGTAAAAAAAGGGCTAAGTTTAGATTGGAATCCTCCAACAGCCTGAAATGACATGACTTCTGCTGACCCACACTAGACATATATAGGATGAGTGAGGAGATGTCATACAAAGCTCTCATCACCAACCACCTCACGCCAAGATTTTCAGTTGTTTGTTATTGTATTATATCCTTGTTTACCCTGATTCATTATTAATGTAAGATGTGAAATGTTGTGTACCGCTAAAAAAGGGAAAAATGCTATCAATTAAATATCATAAGTCACTGACTGTATAATGCAGCCTGATCTTAAGATATGGAAAATTATTATACTGAAATCAATGAAATATGGTATATCTGGTAAATAAATGAACGTGATGGTAGTTTTCAAAAATTATCTCCATTTATTGTTAACAGAAACTAAATAGAACTAAAATGTGCAAGAAGTTTTCAGCCAGTAGATTCACAATAAAATACGTAAATAAATGTGGTTAAGTCAAATTACATAAAAATTATACATCTAACCTTCAAAATAAAGGTTATTGTGAAACTTACCTTTTTCGATAACTATAGGCTCTTCTATGGAACCCCTATTTTCTTTGATATGCATGAATCTCTAACAATAAATTACTGCTTCAGGCAATTAGGCTGTTAGATAGAGCACAGAACCCAAGTCAACTTTTCCCATCATGCTTTTTAAACTTAAAAATTACTTTGTACTCTCTTCTCTAAGTGTTCTCATGTCCCTTGTTTTTACACAAAAATACAATGTTCCAGGTATATAACTATCCTTATTTTACAGACTGGATTTCAAATGCTCTGAAAACATATAACTTTACTTTAATGTGCAAAGTCTGAAAAACCCCACTAATATTATAGCAGCTATCCAGTTTCTGCTTGCTGTAAAAATTTTTTTTATTGGTGCAATGACAGAATTCATTCACCTACAAAATATAATCAGGAATATTTCTACATTAATAGCGTACTAATTTTACATTAATTATGGTGGAATATAATAATGGCTTATATTGTTTTTATATACAATCAAAATATGGTTGTGTAGTGAGAGAAAAGTATATAAACTGCTTATAAAGAATATTTAGCATGTGTATGTGACTTGAACCATAGCCAGTGTCACTAACTGTAACTCAAAGAGCACCAGGAATTTCATTTGACTATCTGAATCTTTAAAATCTATAATACTATTTAGAAATAAAAAATTTAGGCACACCAAATTTATCCTCAAAAATTTGCCTTTATATGATACTTTTACTTTTCATAAAACTTTTCTCTTTAACATTTTGAATTCATGATTCCTTAGTTCCTTTACTCATTGAACCACTCATTTCATGCAGCATAATGACACATACTAAAGATGACATTATTTCAGCACTTAGGAATCTCAATAGAAGAAAACAAGACAAGTAAATAATTATTACTGAAAACTGCATTTAATATTAATGATGTGTTATAACATTCAGAAGAAGAGATTAAACTAGCCACGTAATGTGAGTTAAATCTTGAGGGAGGAGTAAGACTTTCATCTTTCAAAAAGAAAACAGGCCAGGGAGTCAGAGTTGGTAAAGTCATGAGCAGAGAAAATAAGTACAACTGACTGTGTTTACTACATGCCAGGCACCACTTATATTTACAGCAACTTACTGGTTAAGATACTTTCTGTTATACCTCCACAGAACAGAGGAAACTGAGGCTGAGAGATTAAATAACTTACATGAGGTGCCAGATGTGGACTAGCATGCATGTCTCTTTGAATTCACAGCATGATTAAATAAACGTGTATATTGAAATATCAGAACTATTTAGGTTACAGTGGAATACAAAGCCACAAATACTATTTTCATGAGTTGTACTTCCTTGTAAGAGCAATGGAGAATCCAGGAACTAAAAGTTTGGGACTAGAAAAACAACATATTAAAACATGGCTTAGATACAGGAAATTAGAGGGATTAATCTAGAAAGTTTACAACAAAAGCCTAGCTGTAGCAAAAATAACAGAAGGGAAAGACCAGATATGAGACATTCTTCTAATCATACTTTTCCTCTCTTGGCTTTATTTCTTACTCAACAAAACAGGTAGGATCAATTTGCATTCTTTTTGTACTGTAAAACTTTGTTAATAAACAACAGTAGTTAATATAAATAACAACAGCTAATTTAATAGCCTGGTCAACTGATAGGTAAAATAAAACCAAATATTAATATAAATGAACTTTTCAAAAAGAAATAAATTTGTATAAAATACATTTTGATAATGGATGTGACAAGATTTAGAAACTGTAAGGTACAGAGCAAAAGGAAAAAAAGTTAAAATAAAGCTGAAGTTAAAAACCTGAATGACTGGAATTAATGAGAATAGAGAAATAGAGAGGAAAATGAGCAGGAGGAGATCGAGTTCTGCCCCCATTTGTGTAGGGGGAAAGAAGAGGGGCATATATGAATTTACTTTTAGGCAGGTTCCATATTAACTGTCCTTTGTGAACAGGACCAGCAGATCAAAATGTGTGGCCAGGGCTCAGGAGAGAAGTTAGGGCTGAGCTATGTACTTGAGACACATCAACAAAGATAATAAAAGTCGAAGCTATGAGAGTGGACCACTATAATCTCTGGGGGAAGGTGGGAGGGTCTAAAGGAAAAAAAAAAAAAAAATCCTTTCCAAGCAAAAACTAAGTGCCTTCCTCCTGAGACTTGGAGTGACTTCCTGGATTTTTCTTATCTAAAGAGGGGTTTGGGAACGGTTCTTCTCACTTGAGCCTTATACAATTTCACATAATTTCAAATTCAAAAATTCTGTATTGTGCCATACAGCTGATCTAGGAATGAAAAACATGATTGTTTTTTGGCCTAGAGTTTCTCTATGTAAAAAGTCTGTGGAACATACTATAGCAAATGAATAACTTTAAAGAACATTATGCTTCTTTGGATAGCTTATTTCCTATTAACCCAGTGGCTAAAAGTAAAAAAGGTTAATAAATTTCATAGTGATATCCTTAGAAAACTGGTTCATGATTAAAAAAAACAAAGATACAATTATAGATTAATTTCTAAAATGCTTCTTGCCGTAGAATATATATGAAACTATACCTGTAATAAGCTTCTAAATGTGTTAAACAATAAACAACTTTTAAAGAGATCAAAACACAAATTTATAACATTATTCAATGTTTAGTATTTACAATTATTAAAAACAAAAAGAATCATTTTGGTTTTTTTTTTCAAAATAAGCTGTCAACAAATTAAAAACAGAGATAAATCCAAAAGAGGGTCATATCATCAATTGTTTAAGGGAGTGTAATGTCACAAGCGCATAAACTTTGGATCCAGACAAATGAAGGTTTAAATACCACTTTTGCCACTTCCTACTTAGGTGTCCTTGGATGAAATACTTAAAGCTTTTAAAATCTTATTTTACTTATTTGTGAAATGGTAATTGTAAAACCTACTTCAAATTTACAATAAACTAACAAATGTATTTTCTGAGTCAGGCATAGGGTACTACACAAGTCTTAACAGCTTCCGTTCTTCAGATCTGCAATCAAAATGAAAATTCCAAGAGCTTAATAGCATTAAACGCCTATTTTTTGAAAATTACAAACAAGGAGACAGAAAGAGTAATATGATTTAAATATTAGTTTAAAAATACCACCTTTAAATCCTCTCTATTTGATTCCATACCAAACGTCCTGCTCCCCCAAAATTAAAAGAACATTTAGATAACTAAAGTGACAAGAATGATAGAATTTCACTTAACCAGTTACTCGAATTTAACTCAAAAATTTGGTCAGTATTTTTCTTAAATTACTAAATTGCAATGAAATCTATAAGTAAATTAACAGCCTTACAAAACTCAAAATAAAAACAAGCACCAAATTCCTTCAAATTAAGAATTGTCATTCATTTACTCTTAAAACATTGTTAGGCAAGCTTAGAGAATAAGACACACACCATCCCCTTTATTGGGCTTAGTGCTCTGAGAGTGCCAGATAATATGGCATCTTACCATCTCATTTTGAAAAAACTTCCCTATTTTAGGCCTTGCCAACACATGGCTGGTCTGTATTAACTCCCACACTGAGTACTCTCTTCAGCTAGATTTCTAGCCACGAGCCACTAATCACCACTTCAGAAAGGTAGAATAAAAACATGACAATCTCTTTAACAAACTTTTCAACACTAATTAATTTTAAATGTGTGTGTGTGTGTGTGTACACAAGCATACATTTTCAGTTACCAACTTAATAGTTATAAACCAGTATTACACATGTGAAAACTGCGTAGCAACTTTCAGTATACAGGGATCTGTCTGCCTACCAAGAATCTTGTTGCTGTTCCCATTTTGTTGTTTTATTATCACTTTCACCAAAAGCAAAGAGAAAAAAAGATTTCCGAAACTGAAGATGAGGCTGACTTTTGCACTGACACAGGAAGATGGAACATTACATTTCGGTTCAAGAACAGACTATAGAAACACTTGGAGCGGAGAGTTCCAACTGAAAGTATCCTTTACATTAGGATTTCTTAAAACACCATGATGAGTCTGAGTTTCCTACATGGCTGTACTGCTTTGGAACTTAAAAAAAATAAACACTGCTAAATTAAGACTGGACACTTCGAAAACTGCAACCATCTTATTCATGTTATTTCAGTTACTTTTGAGTTTGAGAAACGTCAAGGTCCTTTCCAGAAAAATACTCAATATTGGTAGGATCCCTACTTCCCCTCTCTGGAGAATGGGCCTCACAGTAGCCAAAGGAAACGCGAATAAGAAAGAACTAGTCTAATGATCGGATTTCTCATTTTAAATGCCGGATAACTTAAGTCGTTCATCTGATTCCAATGCTGTCACAGCATTTAAGATACAGTAAAAGTAGTTGCTCAACCTCCTCTCTTCGGAAGAATTCCTAGCAGGACGATCCGGCGCAGCAAATCAGCCCCCGGGGGGCTGCTGCCAACCTGGGCAGGAAACGACTACTGACTGGGGAGGGGTCTTTCTGTGAGCAACTCGGCAGCCTCCGAGGGAACACGGAAGCTGCAAAGCTTACAGCTAAAGACGAAAAAAGAATAGGAAAAAGAGAAAGGCAGACTTTCACGGGGAAAGGAAAAAAGGGGTAGAGAACCAAGAAAGGAAGCATTTTGCTACTGGGAGGAGGGATTAGAGGGAGAAGTCAAGGTCTGCTTCCTAAGCGATTCTTTCCTCTTACCCCTCACGCCGGCAACACTCTTTGACCAGGCCGTCGGGCTGGGCGCTGCCCTTGGGCCGCTCACAGGCCGGGACTCAGACCCCTTTGCAGTCCCCAGACACTGGCGCAGGGCCCTGCGGCCCAGGCGGAAGGACAGGGTCCCCGGCACCGCCGCCCTCCGAGACCCCCGCCCGCGCGCCAGGCGCCGCCGCCCCGCTCCCGCTTCCTATTTTCGGAGCACACACCCTACAAGGAGCGCAGCGAGCAGCCCAGGCAGAGACCTGCCCCCGCGCGCGGCCTCGGGTGACTGACAGGGGCAGGCAGTTGGGCGCCGCGGGAAGAGGGGGAGGAAGGGCAGCTGAGGGCACAGATCGATGCCCTTCCCCCGCGGCCGGACTCCGGGGTGATACGCCGGGGCTTTGCTGGCTCCCGGAACAACGGGCTCCGCCGCCTCCGCGGCTCTTACCTTCTCCTCATCAGACAACTGCTCCTCCAGATCCGCCATTTTCCTTCTGGCGACAAACCGCGGCAGCGGCGGCGGCGGCGGCGGCGGCCACCTGACTTCCCCCTTTCCGTGCGGTCCTCCACGCCGCGCGCCCCCGCCCAGGGAGGGGCCCCTAGCCCAGACCGCTGCGCACGCGCCCTGGGAGCCTCGCCTTCCTCGCCACAGCCCGCGGGGCCGGAGCGAGGATGTGCGCCTGCGCGGGGCCTCGTGGGGCCTGGGAGAGGGAGGAGTCGCCTACCACCGCCTGCTGCAGGCTTGTCAGCATCATGAGTATGGGTTTCAGTGACCATATGGACCCAGTCTGCGACAAGTACATTCTGAGCCCTTGATTATGTTCCCATTAAGTCCTGAACTCTGCCAGCAGAAATATGAAAAGTGTACGAATAGAAGCTTTTTAAACATTATGTTTTTTAAAAACATTACTGGAAAAATATTCAGCTTTTATTAAAATATGCACAGACAACCCAGGTTATAATTGGAAGATTGCTCTTGATATATTAACTTATTTATTAAAGAAATGTGTATTAGTCTTTTACTGTGTGTCAGGCACTATGTCAGTCTCTGCGAATATACAATGGTAAGCAAAAACCAGAGACCTGTTTTCAAACATCCATTGAACCATGGGGAAAGGCACTGTAGTATTGCAGGGGAATTCAAAGTTATATTATACATGATCCTATGGTTGCCAGCTAAAATACAGAAAGCCCAGTCAAGTCTGAATTTCAGATAAACAATGAATATATATTTTAATCATAAATATGTCTCATGAAGCATTTGAGATATACTAAAAAAATTATTCATTGTTTTCAAATTATATTGGATATCTACTACTTTTATTTGCTAAATTTGGCAACTGTACTTCTGAAGCTTCAAGTTTAGCAAGAGAGCAATGATATAGTCAAAGCTGTATATATTAATTGGCTAGGAATCTTGTTAAAATTAGGTTGCTGATTCAATAAGTCTAGGATGGGGCTGGACAGTCTGCATTTCTAACGAGCTCTCAGATGATGCTAATGCTATTGGTTTGGCCCACATTTTGAGTAGCAAGGCCTTAGAGCTAAATAGGAGTTAAGACTTTAATCATTATGTTGTACACCTAAAACAAATACAGTTATATGTCAATAAAAATATAATAAAAATATTTTGTTCAGTAGACAATTGACAACTTTTGAACAATGACATGACATCATGAGAAATATGTTTAGCAAGATGAATCTGACAGCTGCATGTAAATGACATGAGAGTACCTTAGAGAGTTTAAATAACTATTCACATGCAAAACACTATTAAATAATTTACTGAATGTTCATAGTATCCAAATCATTGTTTCTTGTGGCTGGAAAGTGAACAGAAACCATGTTATTGAAAAACTCATAGTCCATTTGGGGAAAGAACAGGAAGGGGAAGCTTGCTGATAGATGTAGGAAAAGCAAGTGTCCTATTGAAGATAAACAGTACAGAGAACACGTGGTAGAGAATAAACCACACAGTTTAGTCAAGGGCTTCAGTGGATGTAAATAAATAGCATTTTTACTCTTTTACAGTTTATTAGACATCACTTCATTGATTTCTCACTGTAGCCTCATGAAGGAAGGTATTTATCAGCATTATTACACCCATTTTACAGAAGAGAAAAAACTAAGGCTAAATATTTGTCCAAGGCTGTACAGCTCTGAAGTGACTGAGTTGAAATTGGAACCCAGGCATCTTATTCTATATCCCATGTTCTTTCCATTTTGATATCTTTCTTTCCCTCTAAATTCCAGGCACTCTCCACCAAATAAAATTTAATGAAGGCGATTACTCTCCCATCCCATCAATTCTATTTACCACTACATACTGCATCAACAGTACTTCCCTTTTTCTTCTTCTCCTACTGCCTTTTGGTTTCTATTTACTCAGCAATACCTAATATCAATAATTTGAATACAGTGAGTACCAGTAAATGTCGTTACTTGACTAACGGGTTTCCTGCTCCCTCTAAAGACATTACCCAAATCTGGTAATGTTTTGCAATAATTTGAGTCAGACTATGTAATCTGACTTGGTGATACTTTACATGTGGTTTCCCATAGTGACACAACCAGCAATTATGTATAATTTCTGATAATCTTTTCAAAAATTTCCCAATACCATCCTCTTGATACAGTTACAAAGAATTATAAGATTCATGTAATCTAGGAATTCTGAGAAGATTTCAAGCTGCCACAAAAAAAAATAGATATAAATATAGAATAACCATTGTATGAATGCAAACAGAAATATGGTACAGGTATTCTTGATAATTAGTTATTTTATGGTTAAAACAAACAAAATATTCCTCCCATATACAATTCTACTTACTATGTGAGGATTTCTACTCCTTTATCATTTAATCTCTTAACTCACCTTTCTGCTTATTTGTGGTGTAATCTTGGCCTTCCCAATTAACTGCACGAGAACCTGATTTTTTAAAAAAAGTTTTTCCTTTTGTAGCATTAGTTTTTAAGTTACTTGTATGCTTCTAAATCTAGTTTCCTGTGGATGTGCTATATGCCCTCAATTAGATTTTAAGTTCGTCAAGGTCAGAGGTTACCCAATTTCATAGAATTACAATCTTAGAGTTCATCTAGTGCAAGACTCATTTTACAGGTAAGATGAGATTTAGATAAATAATATGTCTTGATAAAAATTCCAAATCTAGCTGATACTATTTTATAACCCAAGCATCCTGATGGTCAGGTTCTTGTTCTACCTTTTATAGAATATCTTATACATACACATACATATGATATAACGTATCTGAATCATATGATACATAATATAAATGTTCAGTATTACTGACTGACCACTAAACAGTTACCAAATATAGCCTTCAAAATAACATATTATTTAATCTCTGTACTGGAAAACTAGTAACTGTAGTTTAAAAATGTGGCTTACTTCACTTCTGAGAAAAACTACCAGTGTTAGACAACTAATATTTTGCTAATATTTTGTTGTTTGTTACCATCTCATGTTCAATTAACATAACTGGTCTCAAGCATTGTTGTTTAAGGCAGTAGAGAAGAGTCAAAAACCATGTATATTTTAAAAGTAATTCTTTCTAAATCAAATAATTGCCTAAACTATTGGTTACTTGTAGTTAGTGTGTTCTAATTATAGTCCATTTCCTCAGCTAGATTTGAAAGGCCCACACAGGTGGCACACCTGGAAAAACCTGACATGGATCACTCTAGAGCTACAAAGTAATTATAGAAGAAGTTTGTTTTTCATTTCCTCCTCCCTCCTAAATATGCTATCCTTCGTATTAACCTCACCACCTTTGCCATAGCTCTAAATGCACACATTGCTGAAACACACAAAGTTACCAAGGCATCACACTTTCTCATGCCTCTGTTGACACTCTATCTAAATTGTGTTTTGCAACCTATCTATCCTTTAAAATTCAACTCAGTTACCTTTTTTTTTTTCATGAAACCTACACTGAGTCCTCTAGCTAAAGCTAGTAATTTCTTCTTCTAGATTCCCATAGAAAGTTTTCCATGGATTTTTGCCATGTACTATAGTGGCAAGGTGTACAAATTTTATAAATCAGTTCTAGGTTCTGATCTCGGCTTTGCCTTCAGTTAACTTGGACAACTTGCTCTGGAAACTTCGGTTTCTTCATCTGTACATTGGGGATAATAATGGTACCTTCCCATAGGGCTGTTGTGAGGATTTAATGAGCTAGTTCAGGTAAAGTGCTTAGCACTCAACACAGGCCTTAGCAATGAATGTTAGCTATTATCATCATATTATAATACCAATCAGTTCCTGGAGGACATGGGGTATGTCTTAATTAGCTGTCTGACAAATGCAGACTTTGGCTCCTAAGTGTTTAAAAAAGCTTTATTGTAATACATACTGATTGAATGACTTTTTCATTTTATATCCCTAAATGTTAGCTGAAAAATTGAGCTAGCCACCCATATGGGGTTTAGAGAATGCCATAAAATGTGGCTCTGAGTCTCCAGAACAGGAGAGCGAACACTTCCTCCAGAAAACCCCCAATCATACAAACAATCCTATTCTTTCCTACTCTACATTCAGTCACCACTTACATTTCTAATTGATTTCCTACTCTTTCATTTCTCTGTCAACATAAGTTCAGGCCATCAGCATTGTCATGCCATGTCCCAAATGAAGTGCAGAATATGGGAAGTGTCCAAAGTGAGCCTTTAGGCTGAGATAGGACAAGTTTAAAGCTTCTACTTACTGCCATTAACTTATTTAATTCATTGTTACACAATATATCAGATATAGAAAAAAAAAATCTTGGTTTATCCCTTTTAACTTCCATTCCCTTCCCCATAGGCAACCACTAACCTGAATCTGGTGTTCATTATTCTCATCCATTTTGGTTTTTTCTCAACACACAAAACTGTTTGTTTTTCATCCTTTTTATCCACTTAATATATGGTACCTAATTCAAAAAGCATTTATGGAATGAATTAATTAGTATGATTTCTTTGCATAGTCTTAAAAAACTATATGACTAGAGAATATTAGACTAATTTCTCACTTTTAAAAATCTCCCTATTTGGCAACATAAATTATGGGGCATGAATGAAAAATTAAATCAGACTCTTGACCTGGAAAGAAGAAACAGCACAATGAACAGATTTGCTGGTAGTAAGTGAAAAGGTAACTTCAACATCTTTAATTTTTTACCCTTAGTGTCTGACAATACTTTGAACTCTTATTCAGACTCAGTAATAGCAAAATAGCAGTAGAGCAGAAAAAGAAGTTTGTCACTTGTGTTTACTCAAACCACTCCAACCTACAATAAAATCATGTTTCTCTAACTCAAGTCTAACTGAACAAATTGTACGAGTACTTGCCCAGATTCCTTCTCTTGGTTCTTTGGAGATGCCGCAGTGATCCATGTGCAGAAATGTTTACACTGTCAACTTCCTTCGTCATTTGATAATGGCCTTTCTCAGCTCTGCTGCTCCTTATCTCATCAGACCTCTCCCACTGTTGCAGCTTTAACAATTTTTCTGATGCTCCCCTCATGGGACATGTTTCAGTGCTCTTTTCTCCTCATCTTCTTCCTCTGTGACTTTAGCTACATCCATTGCAGGTAGGTGCTGACCGATCTCTGGCCATTGTC